CAAAGCCCAGAAAAGCAACGAGAGACAGGGGTGTGTGTGTGTGAGAGAGAGAAAGAGGGAGGGGAGGGACAGACATTTAACAGTCTCCCCCTTTTAATTAATTAACAGCCCTCCCCGAGATCTGCAAATGAACCCCCCCCCTCCCCTCTTCCAGGATTGGAGCAAAAGGTAAGGCAAAAGGAAAACAGAGCAAGATGGAGGAAAGGCTGCATCCCGCGGGGGGGGGGGGTTGGAGGGGGGGTTCTCCCCACCTTTTGTATCTAGCTGCACGTGGATGATATTCCCCATGACGGAAGTGTTGTGCAGGTGCTGGACGGCTTCCCGGGCGCCCCTGACGGTGGCAAAGACGACTTTGGCGATGCCCAGGTGCTTCCTGTTCTTGGGGTTGTACAAAATCTCCACTTCTTCCACCTCGCCGTATTTCTTGCACATGTCGGTCAGGAAGTTTTCGCGGATGTTGTCGTTCAGCTTGGCAAAAGTGACTTGCTTGGGGGGCACGGGCCCCACGTAAAACTCGTCAATCTGGAGAGGGTTCGTTCCAACGGGTGGGTGGGTGGGAGGAAGCAGAGCCCGTAACAGGAGGGATGGCGGGGGGGGGAAGGAAGAGGAAGGGGGGGGGAAATAAAAACCAGGGATGGGAGTCAGTCAACGTCTTGGTGGGGAAAATGAAAGTTTTAAGTCCCTTGAAAGGGAGAGCGAAGCGAAAGTTTAGAATGCTCCTCCGAGAGACGGGAGAGCCTTCCCCCCCTCCCCGTCCTCTTACGCTAGCGGCTCAATGAAAACTCCCAGGTCGCTACCTCTCCTTGGCCATGCCTTGTTTACACAACAAGTGACAATCTGGAAAGCAGGCTCGGCTGTCTCAATCCGGCCAAGCGTTTTGACAAACAGCCGCACAACTTCTTCACCTGGTCTATACACGGCACGGCGGCTTAACACTTAAAAATTGCTCGGCAAACAAGAAAGGCCCTTTGAGCAAGAGACAGCGGCCGTCAGCACTGCCGCCAAAGTTCCCTCTTCTTCTCGGCGCGCCCCCCCTTCTACCTTAAATTTGGGGACGGAGAGTTCCAGTTCTTTCGTTTTGGTCCAGATGCGTCCTATCCTGGGGTCCTCCACGCACTCCACGGGGGCCAGACTGGGATTCTGCAAAAAAATAAAAAACCAGAATCATAATATGAAAAAGAAAATCGGTGGAAGAGCAGCAAGGGGGTGTTCAAGAGCCAGTTAGGTAGCAATCCGATCTTTGCCAGCAGGGCAAAGAAAAAAAAACTTTGCTACCCTGCAGAATTGCCAAGGAAGGAAGCTAAAGGACAGCCTTTTTTTTGCTTTTTTTTAAAGGGAGGGAGGGGATTTTAAATGTTTGAGAAGAAGGAGCTGCAAAAGCCGAAGGAGCTGCAAAAGCGAGCTGCAAAAGCCGAAGGAGCTGCAAAAGCCGCAGCGTTTTCTTATTCCTGACAGGCAACCTTCGGCCAGGGGGGGGGTGTAACTTCAGTCTGGCTGTTTCCTAGCAAGCTTTATCTCCCCCCCACCCAGGACATCAAGAGGGCTCTCTGCATTTCCCTAGGAAGAGGGTCAGGTTTTCCAGGAGGTTTTTGGAGGGATGGGAGAGAGAAAAGTGGAGGGGGGGGGAGGGAAGAAGAAGGCATGCATGCATGCAAAGGAAGCTTTCTTTTCTTCCCCCCCCCTCCCTTTCCACAACCCCCCCCCTTACAGGAATGCTGAAGTGTTGCCCATCGTATCGGTAGAGCTTGTGCTGGCCTTTCTTCAGCGCCGGGTCAATAATCAACTTGTAACTTTTCCAGTGGTGGTTTTTCTTCTCGGCCGAGGGACCCGCCGGGCCGCTCTCCATGCCGTTGATCCAACCTGGGGAAAGGGGGGGAAGGCAGAGGGAGGCAGGATGAGCCCCGGAGTTAGAAGAAGGAGAGAAGAAGGAGGGAGGAAAGAGGGAAAGGGGAAGAGGAGGAAGGAAGGGAGGAAAGAGGGAAAGGGGAAGAGGAGGAAGGAAGGGAGGAAAGAGGGAAGGAGGAAGGGAGGAAAGAGGGAAGGAGGAAGAGGAGGAAGGAAGGGAGGAAAGAGGGAAGGAAAGAGGGAAGGAGGAAGAGGAGGAAAGAGGGAAGGAGGAAGAGGAGGAAGGAAGGGAGGAAAGAGGGAAGGAAAGAGGGAAGGAGGAAGAGGAGGAAAGAGGGAAGGAGGAAGAGGAGGAAGGAAGGGAGGAAAGAGTGAAGGAAAGAGGGAAGGAGGAAGAGGAGGAAGGAAGGGAGGAAAGAGTGAAGGAAAGAGGGAA